AAGAGTTGTCCTTCATCCCCCATCCCCTGTGAGTAACCCATTCTTCTGTTATGGTTTTAATATGCATTTGTAATTACATTTACTAAATAGCACACCATAAAGCTTTGGTTATATATTAAATGTAAACTGAAAGGAATGTAAACATATGTATTAATTATAAATAGATAAGTAATGGCATAATAGATACAAAAAAGTCTTATTTGGATGTATCAGTCGTTTTACATTATCCACAGATTGTCGCATGGTAGAGTAGATTTTTGTCTGAATATGTGAATAACTTGCGTTTATCTTTTTACATATTTAATAAAAAAATATGTTAAAATCTGTCTAGCTCTTAGAGACTATTCACAACATTCTAAAATAATACTTTTCTGGTTTAAATTTGTATTTTTTTTCTTCATTAGTGACTGTATATGGAGCAGGAAGAAAAAGGCAGCTGCTTTAGGAAAAAGGTTCACTTAGTCTGTGTAGGTAATATCTGCTTCCCCAAGAGCTCAGCAACTGTATCTCCTTCTACAAATGAGAATGTATGTATGTGCATGTAAACAGAACATTCTTTATGGTAAATGCTTTCCAATTTCAGGCTACTAAATTTCTTGTTCTGTCTCAGTTCTGGTGAAGCAAAAGCAAAACTTGCAGCAGCCAGGAAGTGTAGAGAACTAGAACAAGGGCACTGAAGCTCCCAGTGGACTTTTCTTGCAGTGGCCAAGCAGCCAGGGGTGAATCTTCAGTGCAGTACATAAGTCACTTTCATTGTACACTAAAAAGCTAGGGGTTTGGAAGAAAAAGGGGAAATAATTGTAATTCTTACAGCTCTTTTGCAGCATGAGCAATATAGCTGCAAGTAGTTGCTGCTAAATCTCCAGGGCTTTGAGCCTTAGGTCAGGACCTCTTTCTGACATGAAATGAAGCTACCTGGTTGTGTGTCACAACTAGAAGATCAGCTTAGGCCCCTCTGCTGCCTTCAGGTATTCCTGGGGCTGAACCACTGCCCAGCCCCACTTAGGGAAGGTTTCTAAGAGAGATGGGGAGGATGAAGCCCATTTCCAACCCAGGCGCTCAAACCTGGGACAGCTGCGCTAGTTTGGTTGCTTCTCATAAGACTGGGAAGAAGCATGTCTTTGGGCTAGTGCAAATCCTCAGCATAAAAAAGTTGTTTACTTTCCAGTTCAAATAGTTGAAAACTTTCTGCCATAATGTTGTGGCTGTTAGGTGATGTACATACCATTATCTGACTTTGCAGAATAAATCTGTGACCATGCTGCCCTAGGAACAAAGCATTTTTATTCCAATTCAATTGAACCAGTTACCATCTCAGATGGCTACAATTCAATATATACACTGTGCAATACACGGTCTCTTTTTACACTTGTCTTTCTAGAGATTGTAGTGACAAGTTGTTTCAAAAAGGAAAAAGAAAGTTAGTTATTTGCCACGTCTTCATATAGAATGTGAGAACGCTGAGTGGAGCTTAATTTCCTTTGAAAGTGATACCATATTTCTCTTTAGAAAGGTACAAGTGCAGGCAGGTTGTGGCAGTTCAAGTTTCATAGTTTCATTTAATGAAATATATTCAAAATACTCCATTACAGTGCATCAGATTGTGCAGCTTCTGGCACCCTTATTTCCAACTGTTTCATAAATAAGTGCAAGGCAGAGGGAAAAGGGAACCCTGTCCACAGAGTGCCTCCAGTACAACCACATTCAATCCAGAGGTATTTTTCTTTACTGTATTCTAATTGCTTTCTAGTCAGGGCTTCCTCCAGATACTTTCAATGAACGGGTTAAATATAAACTGCTGAAATAGGTGAGACTTTTGTGGCATTGTAGGTGGTATTGGTCATAGTATTTGACTTCATCAAACATTGCTGGGTGTATGTCTCCGTCAAACTTGTTCCCCTTCAAACACAGAACTGCCTTTTTTAGCAGCCCTCATTAAATAAACAGCTGTCAGTCTTCTTTGAGAAAGAGTCCTTGGGCAGATAGATAGGCAGTAGCACTGGGGAGACCCCACGCTGCCTGGGCATCATGCATGGTCACCCTCCCAGTGAGGAGGAAGGCTGGAAGACCCCTCTCTTTGTTCCAGCCCTGGAGCTGGACCACAGTGGTGCTGCGTACAGGAGCCCCTCTTCCCTGCAGGGCTCTCTGGAATAGCTCCAACCAGCTTTAACAGGATGACCTGTGTCCTCTGCTTAACTCAAACTTTAAGCTGCTTGAACCATGATTGTAGTATGATGTTCGTTTAGGGGATGGGACCCTCAGCATGTTTGTTTAGTAGGTGGAAAGTGCGTATTTTCAAACCATAAGAAACTTTGCAAGTTGGTTTAAATTTTCTGCTTTGTGAAGAGGGGAAGCTGATGTGCTGGCTTGTCCCCTGGTACCTGCAGTAAGTGCTGACAGGGGAAATCAGCCCAACTGATGTTGTGGTAGATCAACTGCTCTAACAGGCAGTACGAACTTATACTGAAGCTGTTGATACGACAAGTCAGTGCTCAGCTGAAAATATTAATAAGAGCTACTGATGAGGGCACATTAATGGGGGAAAAAATAATAAGGCTAGTGATAAACCACAGAAATGGTCTAAGAACTGTAAAAGGTGAACTTAAGGCTCAGCAGCTCAACAACTATGCTTCTGCCCAGCTTCTGGCAAGCGAGATAGTTAGCTAGTTAATAAACATGCCAGTCCATCAATCACATCCCTCCAAGTAAGAAGTGTAATCTAGTGCTTACCTTGGGGAAAGTGGACAGATTGTTTCATTAGTGCTTCAAGGCCACAAAGTGTCCCTCTGGCTAGGGTAGCATATGAAAAGAGATGAAACTTAAATTCTTACTCCTTCCTTCAAGGCACACAGAAAACCTACATATATTATAGATGAAATGAGTGGTTTACATCTGCATGTAAACATGTAATGTTTCAAAAAAGCTTTCTTGTCTTCCCCCCCCCCAATCTAAAACCACAAGAATTTGTTTCAAACACACAGGCAAAGAATGATTTGCTTTGTATTTTGCGCTCATAGGTGATGTTTGACTAACTAGTTTTGCAGTGAAATACGAGAATCTTCAAAGGTTTGTTGGCCAGATTTACTCTCAGCTGGTTACCTTTGTAGGGTATATTGCTTGTAGCTACTGAAACACCAACAATGTGCTTGTTACTACCTAGAAAATGAGTATAAAGGCAGGTGCTGCTGCAAGGAGCCTGCACTTCTGACAGATGCAGGTCAGCTGAGATTCATCTTAATGCTGGGCAAAAAGAGCCCCACGCATTTTAAAAACACTTTACTGTTCCCATAGCTTTCTGAGCTCATTCTCTTTTCTTCACACGTTCATGCATGGTGAGGGAAAGCCTGAATGTGCATAAGCCCTTCAGGAGGTTGTATGGAAGAAATGAGTTGTGAGAAAATAAATATGGAAAATGAAGCAGGCACAGATGTCTGAGTAGGAAGGAGATCCACGGAGGGTTTGCATTGCCAGGGTCCCACTGGTGACTAGGCTAGGGAAAAACAGTGCTGCTTATAAACCATCAAGGATCCCACAGAACCTGTCATGGATTTATCCAGGACTTTGGACACAGTGGCAAGGAGGAGGAAGACAAAAGCTTCAGAGAGGATAGCAACATGACATTACTGGAGAGAACAAATATCAGCAGCAGAACAACTTGGTAAACACTTCTCTGCTGGACAGGAATCCTCCTCTGAGATGAAGAATCTTGCTGCTTAGCTCATTGTCGCAGTGGGTCAGATATCCGGACGTATCTATTCTTTGGTTATTTTGATCAGATTAATTCCAACTATGTATCATATCAGAAGAGTTGCAAATCTCCATGTCAAGTATTACAGTCTGATCATAGTGCAGGTGTTCACTCCTGGACACGTTTCTTCAGGGAAAAGATGTAAATGTTCAAGTGCTCACTCAGCTGCCTCCCCTAAAGAGGAATCACAGAGATTAGCAACCAGTTTTGATACGCTTCACAATTCGCCATCTGTCTTCTGGTCAGAGAGAGAACTCAACCACATTCCTAGCATACTTGGGGACTTTGAAGTACATAGGTATCAACAAAGAGCTGTGGTCTTTAATTTCTCTTGCAGCACACTTATGGGAAGTTAAATTGCTATGGACCAGATTCACAGATGACATAACCTGTGATGGAGCTGAGCCACACCAAGGATTTCCATTCTGGCCTCCACTGACTGGCCCATATTGATGCTGAGGCAAAGCCTACTGTGATGCTAATGTCTGCTGACAAAAGGCTTCTTTCAAAGAAAAATCCTTGCATCCCAGAGATGTACCTTAAATAAAAAAATGCTGAAGAACTCCCTGTGAAATGACATCTTTGTCATGCAACGTGTTTCATCTAAAAGCAACCCCCCTATTAAGACACTTCCCTAAGGATAATTTGGCAATAGTCTTTAAAGGAAGAGGGCATTAACTGAGAAAAAAGGAGTTTAAACAGCAATTCAGATGACAATAAATGACAAAACTGATATCTAGCAGACACAAAAATGCACTGCTAAGACTGAATGAACTGAAAAACATTCATGTCTCCAGCCTGAGAGATGCTAACAGAGGGCCAGTAAAAGATTAGTAACTGGGACAACTATTTCCCTTGCAGAGTCAAAGCAAATTTAACCTTATTTTATGAGTTCTATTTGTGTCACTTTGCATTTTACCTTCCTATTTTTTCAGTCAAATAACCTCAGGAAGAAGAAAAGGAAAAAAGAGGTGGGATCATTCATGCCACATGAGTCAACTGCTGCATAAAAACCAGCCCATAAATATTCTGACTGTGATGTGTTTAAAGCCAAAACCAGTCGGCTACATTGGAATAATTCAAGTCTCTGAAGTTTCTGCAGGTGTGAGAAGGTACTGCCTGCAGTAAAGCGACTTTTCATAAACTTTAGACTAAACAAAACAATACATGTTAAAAACAACCCAACCATAACTGAACATCCAGGCTCCTGCATCAGTGCCCCAGCTAGACAATGCAGAAACCATTCCCAGACCCCATCTTCCTCCGTTCCCCAGTACAGTTCTCCCACGACCACTCACCACACAGACCCCGTAGTGCACATGGGCAGCCGTGACCAGCACAGTGAACACAGAGAGCACAGCTTCTTCCATCCAGCCCAGCAGCCCGGAGATGGCTGCATAGACCACCAGTGCCAGCGGGAAAAGGAACCAGTGGAAAAGCTCCGGCTGGGTGCTGCTCATCTGGCAGATGATCACCTTGCACTGTTGGAGCAAAAAGAGCCAGGTGAGAAGCGCTGGGTGTAGGCAAAAGCATATCTGTTTTCTCTACAGCTTGCTTCTTTTGATGAGGGGAAAACAAAGCTCAGGTTCAAAATAGCGGGAAAAGGAACCAGTGGAAAAGCTCCGGCTGGGTGCTGCTCATCTGGCAGATGATCACCTTGCACTGTTGGAGCAAAAAGAGCCAGGTGAGAAGCGCTGGGTGTAGGCAAAAGCATATCTGTTTTCTCTACAGCTTGCTTTTGATGAGGGGAAAACAAAGCTCAAGTTCAAAATGGGACCTGTTTCTGGTGAGACAACTACTACAGATACACCTTTGTGCCTCATTGTCTGTGAGTCATCACAGAATCAGTAGAATCAGGTTGGTTTGGGTTGGAAGGGACCTTAGAGCTCATCTAGTTCCAACACCTCTGCCATGGGCAGGGACACCTTCCACTAGACCAGGTTGCTCCAAGCCCCGTCTAACCTGGCCTTGAACACTGCCAGGGATGGGGCAGCCACAGCTTCTCTGGGAAACCTGTGCCAGCGCCTCAGCACCCTCACAGGGAAGAATTTCTACCTAATGCCTAACCTAAATCTACTCTCTTTCAGTTTAAAGCCGTTCTCCCTTTTCCTGTCACTACATGCCTTGTAAAAACTCCCTCTAGCTTTCTTGTATGCCCTCTTCGGGTAGTAGAAGGCTGCTCTAAGGTATCCCCTGAGTCTTAAAGGACTTCATTACAAATAATTCAACATACACACTTCTTTCTGGAGAGAGTCTTTTGACACGCTTCGCTTTATAATCTGAAGCACATCTTTACAAAAAGAGAATTTGTTTGCCACCTCGTGCTTTCACACAGGCTCATGAAGTTGTGATCCCAAATCAAATGTGCCACCACTTAATCAGTGGGAGAGTGTATTGGTATTTCAGTTAGATGGTGTGACAGAAATATATTCTGATTGACTGTATAGAAGGCAGGGAAGGTAATATATGCCACTTTACAATCCTGTTTTTCTTTTCTAGCACTCCTTCATGCACTAAACCACCATTTTCTTGGCTCAGTCATGGCAGTGGACTCCCTGGAGATATAGCTGGGGGCCCAGAAAAAGGGATCCCATTCAGAAAGGCATTAAACAAATGAATGCCTGGTTTAACTGAAAGCAATTAGCTTAATTTTACTGAATTCTTGAAACATAGTAAGATGACCTCACTTGAAGTTCACGTTTTTAAAACCAGTTAAGCACATTTGGGTGTTTTACCTGGTTTAGACTTCTTAAGAAACGTGCCTCATGTACAAAATGCCCTTTACCAAAAAACCAAAAAGGTATTTAGACACATCTGAAATATTTTATCAATTTAAGTTTCACTTAAAATTTAAATGTGGTTAAAAATAGATTTTATGCTTTCTGAAAGCTGTAGAAGAGTGAAAAATAATTCATTCATTCCATGTGCAGTGCCTGAAATCCTGTGACAGCAGCAGTAGGGGTCTGACTACAGGGAAAAAAATACTGGCTTTACTATCTGTGCTGTGGAAGCTGAAGGATGCAAAGATAAACCATGAAAAACTGATTAACTTTCAATAATGCAAGAAGTAAGCATTGGTACCTAATGTAAATAGTTTTTCTTACAAAGCATTATCAGTATCATGATTTTTTTTATTAACACTGGTTTTATGAGTCCTTTGGGAATCATTCCAGGCGGTATCATAAATTGCTAAAGCTATCTATCTGCTATAATTTTTCTGGCTGAACTATTGCACCTGTCCAGAGGTTGGAATTCACGTTGTTTTAAACCATTATTACACCATGTTAAGTATAATACTCAATTTGACTGATTGCTTATTAATATTTGGAACAGTTCTCTTTTGGTGTATCACAGCACTGCAAAATGGGACTATACTCTGTGCTCCTCCCCAATTCATTACTCCCCCTGGTCCTGAAGCACTGACTCGCACACACAAGACCTGGATATTTCTGAGACTTGCCCCATAGGCAGCCCCACTGCCAGCTGTGGGGACTGGGAAAAGAAGTCCTCCTCCTACAGATAAGCACCTTTCCTTTTTTAGTTTAACCAAAAACGCTGGAAATATCCCATCTATCTACTCACTCCCAGGAGGCCATTGCCTTCCCTGACATTGTGTGGCTATAAGACCAGGTCTGAGACCAGGTGTTTAGCCCAGGGGATCTGCTGGGCAATTAAATATGTTGTCAAAGGCATGAAAAATTCAGTTACTGGCAGGTAGAGAAATATGGGCTGCAATTTGTGGTCTACAGAACAGATAATGGAAACCCAGTGTCAGACTATCATGGAGAAGAAAAGCATTGCTGTGCCTTACTCCGATACTGGACGAAACGTATAAGGAACCAGAGGAGGTGAAAGGACATACAGGCTTTTCATTTTTAAAATGCTATAAATCCCAACTAACACCCATACATTTTTAATGCTGAAAATTTCAACTAACACACATACATTTTTAATTCACGAGAGCCTCTAATACTGTGGTAGATGTTTCGGTAAAAGAAAAAAACTAGCCCTAAAGAATATGCATCGCACTTACTGTCTAATAAACTGCAGTCTGCTCAGAGGTAGAAGAGCTGCATGATTTTGCTGAGGCTTAGCTACAGTTTCTGTTTCTTTCTGTTTATTCACATAAAAGTAAAAAGCTATCTCTAAATACCACCACCACTAGCATACTTACAATAACGTTTGAGAAAGCAACCCCAACCATCCACAAAAACAATCTTGGTTGTTTTGCTAATATGTTGACTGGAGATAAAGCCACCCAGGCTGTAAGAAGCACGAACAGCAACAGAGGTGACACAAGAGGCAGGAGTCCTTCGTACAAAGAGTCATTCTTCAGTGTTTTCTTTAAATGTGCTCTGTAAATAAATACAATGATTTTATGGAGTAAGAAGATTCACCTATTCTGTTTCCATACAGTAACTAAACTCAGCCCAAGAATTCATCTTGTAACACAACTACCTGTGCAAAAGTAAGTGCTGCATACCCAGGTATTTTCAGGGAAATTGTAGGATACTCAAGTAACATTTATTTCTGGAGTAAAATTATACTGGTTTATTCACATAGCTTCTGGTCAGCTTCACCCACTCATCATTGCCTGGCAATGGACCACTAAGCTTACACAAAGTGAGCTGCAGTACGCTGTTGTAGTTGTCATCCAAATGTACAGCATGCAGGCTTGCTGTGAATTCAAAGCACATACATTTTTAGAGGATGAAACTTCTGACATGAGACACAAAGTTACTCCAGTAATATGCCCCATGTTTTCAGTGGCAACAGAGCCAAGCACATGGCTGGCACACGTTGCTGTTGTTTAGATCTTCAGGTGATGTTGCCAGACAATCCTGTGGTGTTGCCAAAGTGTAGCCTAAAGGGGAGGCTTTTTTTGCTGATCACAGTACAGGAAAATTAATGATTCATTGTGTTTTCTTGCATGTTTCAAGCTGTCTTCTAAAGGTAGTACTACTAAAGGTAGTAAATGACTAGGAAAAAGTTAACTCTAAGATCAATGGCTCTTTTGTGTATATTGCATCTTTTTCACTCAGGCAAAACTCATTGAGAGGTTATAAAAGGAGTAAGAGGTTTAATTTACTAAAGGTCACTACCATTAAACCATTTCTTCATTTTTTTTGTACTAGGAAATGTCCTGTTTAAAATCTCTGAACATTTGTATTTATAGAAACATCTAGACAAAAAGCCAATGAATATCTTCCTCATTCCAAAGAAGAATATTCTTCTGATAAAGTAACAATTGAGAACGGGCAGCAGGATGAGGAAACTGAGGAGATGATTGGAAAGCTCAAATCCCTCATCACCAAAGGCTTATGTGTGCATCCTTTAAGCAAACCTGACCGGATGTTTAAAATTACTGTCCTCTTCTGTTCAGAGGAAACATAAACCCACCGGAAGGCCTGGGAGAAACTATGTCGAATGATGACTTGAAAAGGAAAACATTAAGAAGTCCTGACATGAAAGAAAAGAAAGAAAATCCTGAATGTTCATCTGGTTAAATGCTGCTACTGCCAGAGACTGACATGCTCAAGGTGCTTCTCTCCTTCCCCCAGTCTTCCCCGAACCAGAGTCCCTTGCACCACTGGTCACCAGCCCCCTCATGCTGCTGCTCAGCCTTTCTGCCTGTCCTCAGCCTTTCCTGCCCCCCATCTCCTGGTTCTCCATTCTTCCTGCCCCAAACTTGGGCCATTCATGCTTTTATGAACCACACCGAGTGCTGCGACATGAAAAGGGCTGCGCAGGAGCAATGTATAATGTCTTATAGTCTCTTCAAAATTTAAATCTTAATATTGATTTCCACTAATTCCTGAAGACAGGCAGTGACAGTCCCTCCTCCAGGACACTTAGGACCTGAGAGACCTGATGTGACAGATGACTGAAATGAGCTAGCAAATACTAGTGGAATGCAGGCAGCATTATTAAAAGTAGGCCATCGGAGTATAAACTAGCCGTGTATAAAACTCCCAGGTGCAGCAAGCCAGCTCTGAGATGTAATCACAGCTTGCCACCTGTCTAGCTTGTATCTGACGGCAATTATCTGCAGCCTTCATACAGAGGAGAGTTTTACAGAAGGATCTGGAAGACAAGAAAGTAGTTTGTGGAGCGCAGGATGATCAGCTACAGGATTTCACCTAGCACAGACAGAAGTTAAAGTCACGTTTGACTGCAAATAACATGGACTGTTTGTAACTACAGAGCTTTCATCAGTGTGAGACTGCCTAGAGAATGGCAAGTGGAAGGAAAAGGAGTTACAACAGTCAGATTCAGAACATTGACCCAAAACCCCTTATACTACATTATCAGGACAGCATCTGGCTGAAAGAAGCTAGGCTGCTTCAAGCATTACATTTATTTCTCAACTGAAGAAACCATTAAATATACAGAATTAAATGGGAGGGGATAGAACTCATTTAATGTTAATTCACTTACCTGTAGATGTTGTATAATGTTTGTGGAAATGAAAGAAATAAACTGAAGCCTGGAAGAGAAAAAGATTGATATGTAATGACAGTTCTGCTACACTGATCACCTCAGAGCTTTCTCATATGGTAACAGAATTAGCGTGCTATGTTAACAGTGACTCGGTATTCCTGTACTCGTAACAGGATACAAACTGAGTTTGGAGGCTTTAGGCAATAACAAAACCTTCCTCATTCTTCCAAAAGTTAGCTGCTACAGATAGTTGCTGGTACAGATTTTCTTGAGTAACGAGCGGCATTTTTTAAATTCTGATGTAGTTCGTAGGTAGGATCAGTTATTTGTCATACAGGTTCCTCTGCTGGACCCAAGAAACATCATAGCCCCATTTTGCATAAGCTGCTCTCTGTTTATACAGGAAAAAAACCCCACCAAAAACCTTGCAATGGAATATATAAAGGCAATTAACCTCAAACAGAGCTGCCCACATTACTGGGGAAATAACAGGTTTATAGTTCAATATACTAAGGTTCAACTAATGATTTGCTTTGTTGATACAGCAGCTGAAATGAGTTAATTTCTGTGATACAGCCATCATTTGAATGAGTGAGGGGGTTTACTATATTTTTTTAAGAGCTGTGACCTTCCTGGAGCTCAGCTTTAACCCACAAAGGACAAGGAGTTTGCCTTTGCTAACACTGCGTCTATCTGTATTGCAGATGGTATTACCAATACACCTGCCAGCAGCCCTAGAGGTGCCTGAAGACCCAGCTGTACCCTGTCTGACAACCACATCCAAAATACACTGGTCCATCCAAGGGTCAAAGAAGTCCTCCAGCAAGAAGTGGAAGTTCCAAGGTTTAAACAAAAAAAGCCACAGTATCATAGAATCATAGAATGGTTTGGGTTGGAAAGGACCTTAAGATCATCTAGTTCCAACCCCCCTGCCATGAGCAGGGACACCACACACTAAACCACGTCGCCCAAGGCTCTGTCCAGCCTGGCCTTGAACACCGCCAGGGGTGGAGTCAGCCTAACTGGGTGAAAAGGTATATAAGACCCTTAATCTCTGTTTCCCTGCAGAGCTCTTAGGTTTGTGGGGTTTCCCCATTTTCTGTGTATCGAGGGCTTTTTCCTGTTCTCTTTGCTGCTTGAAGATTGCTCTAGGTAACATATATCTGCCCAGCTTTGATGTTAAAAGACACAAGGATTGTTTTGGTGCACTAAATTAGTACATAATTCCTATTATGTTATGGTCAAGAAAAGCACTCTGATGTTGTAAACCTTCTGGTTTTACCTGAAAAAAAAAATCTCATTTAAGAAACATAGTGTATTGCTTGTATAGAAAAGTAGCAAAATTAATGTCATTATTAGAAACAATTTTTGTAAATAAGGAAAAATAAGAATGAATAGAGGAAGGAACTGATTTCAGATGACAGTGTACTGGGGCTAACATGGCATAGCAGAGTCTTGAGAAATGTTGGTGTTTAACATTCATTCAGTCCTCATCAAAGACATACCCAAGTGTTTAGCATGCTCTGGCCACAGTGGCAACTCAAGAGAAGGAACACTAAAACAAAAAGCAAGAATAGTGGAGATGAGGATTGTTGGAAAACGGGAGCAGTAAAAAGGGATGCAAGAGATCATCTACTTCTCCATTTTTTTCTGGTTATCTTATAAAGAAAGAGGGAGAATCAAAGAATTGAGGGAAAAAAGAATATCCAGCCTGTGAATAGTTTCAGGTATTGCATTTTTACTTCCTGGCTTTGCTTTTTCGAACAAGTAAGATAAAGACCCCTAATGCTTTACCATAGCAGAAGCTCCTTATCCAACAGCTGAAGGACGTGCAATTGAAGGAACATCCCAAGAATTTTGCAACTATATTTCTAAAACTCCCAGGCTTAGTACCTTGAGAGTGATCTGTGGTTAGTGTGCACTCCGGTTAGCTATGTTTCCTATTAGGCAGGGAGGGCTAGTTCAATAAAATCTTGAGTTACGTACAGCAGTTCCAACATCTGCATCACATTAGAGCAGACATGAGACAAAACATTGACTCTTGAGGTTAAATCTAAATTTCCTGCTGCAATCCTGAAGTTTGATTTGTTGGGAGAAAAGCAACTGAGGGAAACAGAAATAGAGACTAGAACTAGAAATAGAATTCAAAGAGCAATGGCTGCCAACAATTTGTTATTTTTATGAAGTGCCATTTTAGTAAGAAATAACACACCGACCACAAACAATCCCCCAGTTAGCTAAAAGCCACTTTCCGAATGGGGCAGTTACACCAGTTACTCCTCTCTATCTTTATATGGCTTCGCTTTCAGCAGAGTGAGAGCTGAGGATGCAGAAGGGAAAGCAAAGGGTGTTCCCCTGTTTCTTATGGGATTTTCAAAATTCCATCATTTCCTACAACATGTTGCTTTCCCATCTTTTTTTAGCTAAGGAGGCCTGGCTTGGGGGCTGCTTTCGGTACTCATTAAGTCTGCCTTTTAATTGGCATTAAGAATCCCTTTGTGCCCAGGAGCAAAACTGCTGCTTCCGCATTGCTGCCATTCCCTGATGGTCTGGGGAACAAAAGGTGCAGCCTGGAAAGCAAAGCCACTGGTGTCTCTGCCAATGGTGGTGGAGCTTTTTTGTTTTTTAAAAACAGTCCTAAAAAACACATATTTTGTTTTAAAATCATTAAGAAATGAAGTTCAGTGCATTAAACATTTTTAACACATTACAGAAAATAGAACTTCTCAAGTGTTACTAGAACTACTACTCTCTTCCTGTATTTTTTAATTCCTCCTTTAATATTTTCCCATTTTCCAGATGATTTACAATCTGAGACCAAACTGTAAGAAGACAGGCCTATATTAAAGGCAGAAGTACTAAAGCACACATGGGTGGCGCAGATACAGGGAATTGTTGTGTCACACTACGCTGAAGGTATCAACCCAAATCCTCATATTCAGGTACAATTCTGGAGTCAGTCCTTTGTCTTGCACTATCTTGACTCCCTTTTCAGAGAAATAAGCAGTTGCAAACCTTATTAAACAAACATATAAAACAAAACAGACAAACAAAGAAACTAAGAACAGAATCCAAACCAAATGCATTCAGGAATTCAGGATTAGAGACATGTCAGAAATAAAGGCATTATCTCGTTTTCTAAATATATATATATATATATGCGTAAACACACAGATACATACACACACATACACAGACAACCATATATATACACACGTGTGTGTAAAAGGTAATTCCACAAATTTTAGTGACAACTTTAGATTGCATTTGGTAATTTCAAATTCAATTCTAAATGAGTGAGATGCTGTGTGATATTGCTGAGTGAATTAAAAAACCCAAAATGCTAGCTGTGATGGATACCACTGTGCAATTTGTTCCCTGTGTTAGTTCTAACTAACAGTAATGTATTTAAGTTTAATCGTATGAGAGCATCTTAAACCCTCATGTAACTAAGCTGAAAGACAGTCAGGTTGTTTCTGTGACACACTGCAATTACTTAGTGTGGCTGATGTATGTGAGTTAATTTAGGCATTTGTGCAAAACACAGACTTGCCCATTGTGGCGAAAGAGACAGTATGGCCAGAAATGAACTGCTGACACCACTGTCAGTTCTAGAAAATGCTATTTCAGTAATCAAGAGAACAACCCCACGCTGGCGTTCAGACAAAGGCAGAGAGCCTTCTGCAAGTACCCACCTTCCTGAATACACCAAACTTCACAGCCTGTAAACACCAGTACATAAAGAAGCAATTCCAAGAAGGTAGTTGGGACACCTAAGCCACTCTTTTTAAATAAATTATACTGCTTCCAAGAAAGGACAATGTTTACCCTAGCTGTTTATCTTTTCTGCACCTTTGCTATGAAAAATCACATTTGTTGTTAAGTTCCTGACAAGTGAACCACCCTTAGAAAAGTGTTGAGATATTATCTGTTAAGAATTAGCTCTTCCTGATAGTTAAAAGTTCAAAATGAGACAGCGCAACACAGACATGTAGTTCTAGGTGGACACCACAATGGAAACATGGGAATTTATTCAGGAAAGAATCCTTCCATCCCTGCTGTGCTCCCCACAAGAAAAATTGCCCAGAGCATTCCTCCCATTTAGGAGGCACTGAAGAGTTCTGCACAGACCTTCTCCAGGGCATATTGCAGAAGCTCAGCTCAGTAAAAATCAACTCTTAACTGTAGGCATTTGCAGTTGCATTTCAGCCTACAAATGAAATACCATAACCCTCCTCTTTCGTTCTTCAATTGCCCACACCTCCATGTGGCCTTCTTCAGTATACTGCTTCGTCTTCCTGTCTCTAGGTTAATCATTCATCATAGTCAATGCTTCTTTTAAAGAGAAGGGATGTTATCATTTATCTTTCTTAGCCAACAGACAAAAAACACGCCAAAATTTAGGTCTCAATATTAGCTTGGAAAAATCTTTGAATACTCTTCCCATGTTTTTAGTAATTTCTTCCACATTTAGAGCCACTAGACACATGAAAATGTCTTAGCACACTGAATGTTTAGCACACTGATCAGTGCCTGGAAGCAAGCTTCATCCAAAGGCAAACATTCAGAAGCAATTGTAACTTGAACAGTAGCTTTTCATGGAACAGTGTGATTTTTCTCAGGTATGTCTTGAGAAGACAACTCTTTTAATTGGCTGTGCAAATAGATAATTGCATATTGAGCTGTCCACTAAATATAAAATTATGCTTTATTATTATATAAAAGGGCAAACTTAGAACCACTTAGTAATTGAAAAAAAAAAGCTTAGAAAATGAGTATATAATTGTCAGACTTAATTGGGCCTGTAAAGCCTGAATATATTAAGCAATTGAAGGACATGAAAAATACACCCAAACAGATCTACACAGTATGAAATGATTTTACAGGGATTAAGAGCACAGTGTAAACATAAGCACTGTCTTCAGGCACAAAGCTAATGTATGTTTAGCATCTAGGATACTTCTTGAGTATAAAGTCTGTAAAGGGATGGATTTATCCTGCCTGTTGATGTTACAGCTTATTTTCAGTGTCTTAGGAAGTACTCAC